AGACCAAGACCAAGAACAAGACCGCGTATTTTTAGCAAGACCAAGACCAAGACTGACCGTGCAAGACTTGAGCAAGAACAAGACATAGCCTGCAAGACTCTTGCGTCTTGCAGCTAGGACTTAGCGCTATTTCACTGAGTAGTTAGGTGTAACAGTTCGGTGTATAGGTAGGTACGCTTAGGAATTCTATGAGACGCAAAAAACTGTATCAAAGAATATGAAAAACTGGACCTATGCGCATTACGACTAATACCATAAACATAGCGAATAAAAAAATTATTAAAATCAAACTGAGTGCATGCATAGTTATGTTTTAACCATCGGCACTTTGATAATGCGGCATCAAAGGTTTTGTACTTACTTCTCAAAGAAATTTGCCGCTTTTCGGAAGTACATGGTTATGATACACGCGCCGGCGGCTTCTTTTGAAATCTAAAACAATCGTTGCCGCCACGCCGAAATCATAACATTTGACACTATTTGATTGCCGCCATAGGGTGTAGGTATACTCATGCAAAATAATTTCGAATTTTTTTACACGCTTTATATTATTGTTTGATTTGCGGCGGCATCCTTATCATAGAGCCGGCACGTGGCGAGGCGGCGCGGTAGAAAGCAAGGATCATAAATGTTTATTAAGAAACAGTTACTTCCATGGAAAACGACATATAGGTCAGTTGATTTTTCGAATTTCTTATCAAATCTTCAGTTATTTATTAATCTGCTTGATCTTTACTATGGCTATATTCATTCAAGCTCACAATGTTCCAATTCTAATACGTTTTTCTAGGATTTAAAGTAAACTTTAATAAATAGTAATAGACTAATAGGTAATTGCAAGACTTGCAAGACTCTTGCTGCAAGACCAAGACCAAGACCAAGACTGGGAGCGCAAGACCAAGACCAAGACCAAGACCAGGTGTATTGGCGCAAGACCAAGACCAAGACTGGCTAAGTCTCGTCTTGTTCTTGCGTTTGGGCAACACTATTGAATATAGAGTCAATTGGAGCAGTAAATCCAAGTTCTATGGACCAGTCTGTACGCCTCCAAAAAATTCAAGTGATGCAGTTACAACGGATCAATCTAATACGCCCCCAATGACCCTTGATCGTGTTGTTAATCCATGTCAGCCATCTACAAGCCAGTCAACAGTTTTCTCACCGAAATCAACAAGACCTTTTCCCATTGCTCGACAAAAGAAGCTGCTGCAGGTGGTAGGAGAAAGAGGAAGTCGACCATCTACACGGACACTCCCGAAAAAGAAGAAATTAGGAAAGAATCAGAAAAGAAAAATAAAAAAAACAGGCAAAGAACGTGAAAAAGAACTTGAGTAAAAAAAAATAAAGAAAAGGGTAAAAAATCTAAGCAAACTAAAAAATTGACTTCTTCTGAAGATGAATCAGATAACTGCATTTGCCTTGTTTGCACGGAAAGTTTTGAGAAAATCAGACCAGTAGAAGACAGGGTGCAGTGCTCGGTGTGTTAGATGTGGGCACATGAGGCTTGCGCACCTGCAGACCTCAGTTATTTGTGTCACAATTGTGACTGATTGATTTTGTCAAATTTATTTTTTAAGATCTATTATAATCGTTGCTCTCTGTTTACTAAATATTGGTTACCTACATTTGTTAGTAATAGTTGATCTCATTAATATAATAAGTGCTATATGAATGTTGTGTTAATTTAAAACAATAATTGCTACGTTTTTTTTTCTTCGTTAAATTAATGGTACAAATAGTGTTCTATGTGTGGTGGGCACACGTGGGATTTTACAAAGAGCTAATTACGTCAATCATCTTAACCCTAGTTAAGATGTATAATAATGGTTGCTCTTCCTTTATTAAATGTTGATTACATTTCTAGATTAGTAATAGTTGATCTTATTACTTATAAATATTTAAATATTCTAAATGATTAAGCAAGATGTACCATATGAAAATATTGTTAAGTTAATACAATAAATGCTAGCTTTTTTCGTTAAGTTGATGGTAGAAACTACCTCTTACTGTGTTCTAATCAAAGACTGAGATTATGTAATTTAATTATGACTAAAAAAAATAATTTAAATGACTATTACAATAAATAAATATTTTATTTCTAGGTGTTTCAATAGACCCCATTCATTATTTCAATTGACCCGCAACCAGGGTCAAATGAAACAATTTTCGAGGATTTCTTAAGCACTTGTGATTCCGTATCTGATACCTATAGATAAAAATCAACATAGCAACTTTAAGGCCAGATAATCTAGCTATAGTCGAAACCTTTCACAAACCAGTATTGACAGAAAATGCAGGCACTATGGCCGTTTTTTCGGAAAACGTTTCAATTGACCCCGATCTCCCCCTACCTCTGCACCCCGATCTCCCCAACCTCTAAGCTCTCCCTATCTTAGCAACCCTAATTACCAACATCCCGTCCAAAATATGTAACCAGAAAGACCTGTACAATACCCTTAAAGGATTACCTTCATTAATGTTCCTCTCCTTGACCGTCTATAGGGACAATAAAGCAGTTATTACCTCGAGAGATCCCGACCTACTTAAAAACTGAAACCTATAAGATCCATAACCTCTGAAAAAATTGAAATCCAGCTCCGAGAAAATAAATCGACGAAACGAAGAAAGCAAGGGAAGACGAAGCCATTAGAAACAAGGGAAAGGAAAACAAGAATAAAGGAAAAGGTAAAGGCAAGGGAAAAGGAAAGGGAAAACCTCAACAAAATGCTAAACGAAGAGTATTACAAGAAAGCGAGAGTAATAGTGATGATGAGGATCTGTATAATTTGTTGTGATTCATATTGAGGTTCTCTTCCAAGAGAACAGTGTATAGAATGTAGTGTAAAAATTGGGCACATGTTAATTGTATAAATAAAACTGATAATATTACTTATGTGTGTCCCTACTGTGAGTCAGATGAAGAATTTAACGATGAATGAATAAGAATAAAAGTTGCCAAAGTTGATTACGACTGATTAAAACAAGACTAATCTAGATGGAGCTAGTAATGTTTTTTCGTTGTTTTTTAAAGTTTATAGCATTGCATAACAACTAAATAAATGTAACTATAGAAATTATTGTTTTTTTTAAAAGAAACCATACCACTATCGTTATACTTTACTTATATTATCCATGTGGCACAATTTGCCCAAGACATGTAACAACTCGCCCCAAAGTGGGGTTGAAGGTTTCCTTCCGAAATTTTGCAAAAATTTGCCTGAATAAAAAAATATATTGAGAAACTAGCAGAAATGACTTTACTATTACAGAGACCTATTAAGACTTTTTAATAAAATCAAAATTGATATCTTTTCATTTTCATCATAAAATTTCATGTTATTTGAAAATCGGAACTTTCAGCCCCGGCCTCCCCTATTAAAACATTATTTTTCCATTGTTGAACTTGCAAGTAAACTCTTTTAATATGTTGTTTTGCTGCATCCTCTGTTGGAGGTAACGAGCTGAGTTGTGCGCTCTTGTCTTTTCAAGCTAATGCTGTAAAACGCTTGTATCGCAGACTCAAACCTGAAAGTACCTGATTTCGCTAACACACTAAACAAAGTGAAAAATAATATAAAAGAATTGGGCAATAAACTAGGAAACATAACCAAAAACATTATTGTGGGTTTTTGTTTTATTTTAAATATTTTTCTTTCCGTTAAGTTATAACAGTTATATTTATCCTAATAATACGATAGCGAGTTTCTGCAGTTTGTCCGCTCCTGATTCATTCGAATTGTTTTTGCAAGTCCCAGATTATAGGGAATTTACCAATGTGAACGACGGTGAACACCGCGGGGGGAGAGTAGTTGCAAATAGGAACACATCGAGGTCAGATTAAAAAGTAAAGAGTAAAAGAAAAGAGGAAAAACGTGAGAAAGACGAAAGACGCGTAAAAGACGAAAGACGGAAAGTCCTCAAAAAGACGATAAAGACGAAAAAGACGGAAGACGATAAAATTAAGTGTATATTGATGTGCTGTTTGTGACCAATAAGAAATAAGTGTATCAGTATAGCTGTGCAATACTGTGGAAAACTCTAATTGTACAAAATTCATTAAACACATTCTAAAAATAGTGGAGCTGGATTCGTTTTTATTCACCCTAGACAACAACGGAAAAAAGCCTACATTTTGGGGGCTCAGCCGGGATGTGATCTAGCCAGTACAGTGACAAAAGCAGATAGCTGAAACAGTGAACATTTAGAAGTCGAAAAAAAAATTGATATTTTTGTGAACCTTGTATAGTGGCAAAAATTAGTGAACACTGATATCAATTGGCGCCGTAAGTGTACCTTGCGCGAAGTTAGACAAAACATCCGCGCTGTGAAGCATGTGTCAGTGAGTCATCACAATTTCGCATCAATTGCCGAAAAGCCATGAGCGTTTAGATGTGATACGAATTTATCGGGGCTGACTGGAATGGAGAAATCGATGGTTATCTATAGGAAAGGAATTACAAATGGGCACCAACTGTGAGGCTGGAAGACTTCCAACAAAATAACAACAATTGCACAAGTTTGAGGTATACGGACTAATTGTAAGGTAGGAGCATATTTTCCAGTAATTATTGGACGGCTATGGTATTTTGAGATATTGACTGCAGATTTGTATAACATTAGCTTGTATTGTTTATAAATTTATAGTTATAGTCTATGGAGAAGAAAATATCCTTATTTTGCAGTCTGTTTCGTCAAATATTTAAACTAGTAAATAGTAATATATTCTCGAATTCAGAAAAAATATATAATAACTAATAGTATCAGTTAATAATTATTGACTGAGCTCAGTCACAACTTTTTGGGTGTTTTGTTCTCCATTGTTGCCATTTTTTTATTATTAGGATTTATTTTAATCTCAACTTTATTTTGTTTAACTTTTGTATTGACTAGGTTAAGGTAATTTATTGAATTTTTATTGACATATTATATTCGTTTTTCCGTCTTTTCGAGTTTTGACAAATTAAGGGCCGAATTTTGTAATTTTCTTGTTACAATTAACGAGGTAAAGATGGCTACTTTGGGCGATATTTTCAAAATTAAAAATAATATTGCAAGCAGTAAATTAAAGGCAGTCAAGGCCTTACATTGGGTAGCGTACGGCAAAGAAGCAGAACCTCGCAGGACGCGCAAGGGGTTGCGTGAATTTTCTGGTTTCAAACTAGATAAAAATTCAGAAGAATATTTAGAAAGGGTTAGTGAAGTCAGAGAAAGGGTTGAGCCGGCTGATTTAATATCAATTTGTCACATACTCGACTTGAATGATGAAGGTGGTACTGAAACATTGGTGGATCGCGTTTGTTCCTTTTTAAATGACTTAAGGGTGGGAGGTAAGGAAACAGATGAGGAAGAAAACAGTGAGGAAGAGGAAGAGGAAGAAGCCGAAGAAGAAGCTGATGAGAAGGAAAGTTTGGACAAAAGTTCAAGCTCATGTTCTGGCCAAAACCAAGGAAAATACATCGTTTGCGCTAACTTTTCGAGATATAGAAGACAGCGTCAGACCATTTGACGGCAAAGCCGATTATCCTGTTAAAAAATGGATAGCTGATTTTGAAGAGACAGCTGAGATAACAGGATGGAATGATTTACAGAAGCTTATATTTGCAAAAAAATCGTTATCAGGACTTGCCAAGTTATTTGTGCAGTCAGAAAAGGGCATTAAGTCATAGTCAATGTTGAAAAAGAAATTAATCGAAGAATTTGAAGTCAAAGTGAGTAGTGCTCAGATACATAAACTGCTCATGTCCAGGACAAAACGCAAAGAAGAATCTGTAAAGGAATACGTATTAATCATGCGAGAGATTGGTGGAAGGGCAAATATTGAAGCTGAGGTAATCATACAGTGCATTATTGACGGCATTCAGGATAATACAGCAAATAAAGTAATTTTGTACGGCGCAAAGAACTTTCAAGAATTTAAGGAAAAAATTAAGTTGTATGAGCAAATAAAATCGGTAAACTCTGGTTACGGACACGGATCGGGATACGTACAAGGTCAAAACAAATTTGAACCGAGAAATAAAGATATCAAACGACATAATGGGAGGGAGTGGACAGTCAATGATAAGAGTCAACCAAAATCAGGAGTCTGTTACAACTGTGGAGAGAACGGTCATATATCCGGTGGATGTCCACATAAAAACAAAGGAATGAAATGTTTTTCTTGTAATCGTTTTGGACACATAGCGGCCAAGTGTCCCAAAAAGAATTTATCTAACAAAAATCTAAGTGTTATTGAAGTTATTCCAAAAAATAGTATTCAGCTAATTGTTAGGAATACGAGTCTGCTGGCTTTATTTGATACAGGGAGTGACATTAGTGCGATACGGAAAGACGTTTTCGAAAAATATTTTAGTGATATTAAACTGGATGAGAATTATATGGTAATTAAGGGAATTGGCTCAGGTAAAGTCACAACTTTAGGATCTTTTTCTCAGAATGCGAAGGTTAACGATGAGGATGTCATTTTAAGGTTTCATGTAATTCCTACAAGTACTTCCATTTTCGGAGCGATTGTTGGAAATGACCTTCTGTCTCAAGTAAATGTTCACATTCGAAATGATGGGATAGAAGTATACGCCAAGGAAAAGGAAAATTTCCTAATGCAAATTAACGTAGGTGAGGACAAATCGTCGGATGTAGTGGATATTCAACATATTCGTAATGAAAGTTATCGCGAAAAAGCCTTAGATTTACTTGAAAATTATAAACCCAAAAAAATCAAAACCACAGACATCAAGATGAACATCTTACTGAGAAGTGAAGAACCCGTTTATCAAAGACCTAGGCGATTGACTGCTCCCGAGAAAATCATTGTCGACAAACAAATAAAGGAGTGGCTGAAAGAAGGCATTATCAGGCCTAGCTCTTCCGATTTTGCTAGTCCAATTGTATTAGTGAGTAAGAAAGACGGACAAACCAGAATCTGTTGTGACTATAGGAAACTAAATAAAAATATTATCAAAGATAGGTTTCCACTTCTATTAATTGAAGATGTGCTGGACTGTCTTCAGGGAGCAAATTACATTAGTACCATAGATTTGAGGAATGGATTTTTTCATGTTTCGGTTGCAGAGGAAAGTGTAAAGTATACCGCGTTTGTTACACCTAGCGGACAATACGAGTTTTTACGATGCCCTTTTGGCCTGTGTAACAGTCCTGCAGTTTTTCAGAGGTTCATTGGACACATTTTTCGAGACTTAGCCAATCAGAGAATTGTATTGTATTACATGGACGATTTAATTATTTTAAGCACCAGTGAAGAGGAAGGAATACAAAGATTAGAAATGGTATTGAAAATAGCAAGTGACTATGGACTTGAAATCAAGAAAGAAAAATGTCAAATCTTACGGAAACGAATTAGTTTTTTGGGATTTATTATTGAAGATGGAAAAATACAGCCTTCCAGTGAAAAAACGATCGCAATAAGGAAGTTTCCAACACCTAGAACCTGCAAGCAAATACAATCCTTCTTAGGATTAACGGGTTATTTCCGAAAGTTTATACCCGCATATGCATTCGTTGCCAAGCCATTGAGCGACTTATTGCGAAAAGACGTTCCATTTCAGTTTGAAGACAAGGAGAGACGGTCCTTTGAAAAACTTAAAGAACTTTTGACAAAACCACCAGTTTTAGCGATATACAGACAGGGTTGTGAAACAGAAGTGCACACTGACGCAAGTCAAGTTGGTTATGGAGCTTGTCTGTTGCAGAAAAATGACGATGACGGTAAATTTCACCCTATCTATTTTATGAGTAAGAAGACGACTCCTGCAGAAGAAAAGTACAGCAGCTATGAACTCGAGGTGCTTGCAATCATACAGGCTGTAAAGAAATTTCGAATATATTTACTGGGCAATAAGTTTCGCATAGTAACAGATTGTTCGGCGTTCCAAAAAACAATGGACAAAAAAGATCTTACTACCAGAGTAGCAAGATGGGCTTTACTTCTCGAGGAGTATACATACGAAATAGTCCACAGAAGAGGATCACAAATGCCACACGTTGACGCCCTCAGTCGAAACCCTGTAAACATGATGGTAGTCAGCGAAATGCTTGCTGACAAAGACGGTGTGTTGAAGAGATTTAAATTAGCTCAACACCAAGACGAACGTATACTAACTATAAGAAGACTACTAGAAGCCGATGTTGAATACGAAGATTATCACCTAAAGAATGATATTTTATACAAATATGTGGAAGGAAAAGAATTGATAGTTGTTCCCGAAGCTATGCAAGATGAAATAATTAAGAAGGCTCATGAAATTGGACATTTCGCCGTCGATAAAACAAAGGAAGTAATAAAAAGAGAATTTTTCATCCCAAAAATGAAAGAAAAAATACAGAAATGTATAAAAAACTGTGTTCCATGTATATTAGGGAGTAGAAAAGAAGGCAGGCAAGAGGGGTTTTTACATTGCATCCCAAAGATGGAGGGTCCTCTTCACACCTACCATATTGGTCATTTGGGACCACTACCTAGCGCCAATAAAAACTATCGTCATATTTTGGTTATTGTCGACGATTTTTCGAAATTCACTGCAAGGAGTATTCGGAAATCCTGCCCGAATTATTAGTGATCGAAGAACGGCGTTTACAGCCGAGGAATTTGAAACATATTGTTCTAACGAAAACATACAGCATGTTTTAATTACTACTGGAGTACCTAGAGGGAATGGGCAAGTGGAGTGTATCAATCGTATAATTATCCCAATATTAACTAAGTTAAGTTTAGAAAACCCGATGGCATGGTACAAATATTTAGATCGAGTGCAGAGAGCATTGAATTGTACCATACAGAGAAGTATCAACACTACTCCGTTTGAAGTCCTTATTGGAACTAAAATGAGGAACAAAGAGGATATTCTTATTAAAGAACTCATAGAGAAGGAAACAATTGATACATTTAATGAAAATCGGGAAAAACTCCGAGAAGAATCTAAGAGACAAATTCAAAAAGTACAGGATGAGAATACAAAAAGATATAATCTGAGAAGAAAACCAAAATTGTATAAAAAAGGGGATCTTGTGGCTATCAAGCGCACACAATTCGGTCCGAGACTTAAACTTTATCCAAAATATTTAGCGTCATATGAAATAATAAAGGACAAGTCTAACGAAAGGTATGATGTACTAAAAGTGGGTCATCACGAAGGGCTAATGCGCACTACCACCTGCGCCGAATACTTCAAACCGTGGGTTGAAAATCAGTCCGAATCCGAGTCAGATTAGTGATCAGGATGGCCGAGTGTGGGTTTTTGTTTTATTTTAAATATTTTTCTTTCCGTTAAGTTATAACAGTTATATTTATCCTAATAATACGATAGCGAGTTTCTGCAGTTTGTCCGCTCCTGATTCATTCGAATTGTTTTTGCAAGTCCCAGATTATAGGGAATTTACCAATGTGAACGACGGTGAACACCGCGGGGGGAGAGTAGTTGCAAATAGATAGCCATCGAGGTCAGATTAAAAAGTAAAGTGATAGTTTTTATTGATTAAAAAGTTGATTGGAATTGTCAAAACAATCACTTAATATTTTGCTTTAATTCACAAAAAACTCAAATACATTGATAACAAGTATAATTCTTGCGTAACATTATCGAAATATTATAAATTTGCGACTTTTCGACTCGCTGATGCAACGGACGCTGGGACGCTCGCTAATTTTTCCGTACCCCTTTTCCCTCCCGAATCTGTTGTCGTTCTCTCTCCATTCTAGTCCATAGGCGGGTTCTTGGTCGTTCACAAAGGGGTTCCGCTAACACGGCCGGACTGACGTTTGTTTCGTTCTCGAAACACTGACCATATTGTTCACCTATTTAAAAAAAAAGGGAATGCGCAGTGATTTGGAAATCAAACAACAGCACAAACCGTAATAATCAAAGCACCGGACAAGGCTCTACAACAGCACATGCCGAAAAAAATCAAAACACCAGGCAAGGCTCTACAACAGCACATGCCGAAACAATCAAAACACCAGGCAATGCTCTACAACAGCACATGCCGAAACAATCAAAACACCAGGCAATGCTCTACAACAGCACATGCCGAAACAATCAAAACACTTATTTTGTTTATGGCAAAACCATAACTCAGTAAACACAAACATAAGCTCACCTTCGTCGTCGGTAGCTTCGTTCTCTAACGTTTCTAATAAATCGTTCATATCCATTGACAAGCTCCAGTCTAATGGCCAAGGTCTCAACTGTTCCTTAGCTGCTTTGATAATTTTGTTTTTACCAACTCGTTTTAACTCGTAACGGCCTTCTGGTGTAGTGCCCAATATTTCATAGGGGCCCATAAATTCAAACTGAGTTTTATTTGCGTGCATTTTACTAGCCCTGTAGAATAGCACGAAGTCTCCACGAGAATATTGAATACCTTCGCGTCTCTTTTGATTGACTTTGTCGATTGAAGTTTGCTGCGGTCTGAGTCGCTCTGCGACAAGCATTCGGTCCAGCGTTAAATTGCGTATTGGAGTAAAATCTTGACTTAGATCAGTTAGAGCAGAATTTATGAGTGGTGTACTGGTCTCAATACTAATTAGAATTTGTAATGGTGACATTTTGGTGTTTTTTTTGTAGCGTGGTATTCAGTACCAATTGAATTTTCCATAGTGTGTTCGGCCATTCGGCAACTACGCGAGTTTCAATACGTATCAAGTTCATTAGTATACGCAGGTAGCGCTCTACCTGACCATTAGCGCGGTGTATGTCAGGTGTAATAAAATGGTAACGAACATGCCAAGTGTCTAAAAACTCACAAATCTTGGAATTTTTAAAATTAACCCTGCATCCATAATGATTAGTTTAGGAGTCCCGAATAAAGAAATAAAATTTTGTAAGACTTGCTCCGTTTCTGTTTTTAATGGCACTAAGTTACAATATTTTGAATACGCGTCAATAATGACAAAAACGTATCTGTATTCGTTAACAGCAGGTAATGGTCCTTAACAGTCTATGTGTATTGTTTGCAAAGGTCCCGTTGGTTTTTCTGGTAATTTTATGAAACCTTGCAATGGGCCAGCACGAGTTTTCTTTACGGCACATACAAGGCGATGCTTTAATGTAGTTCTTAACGAAAGATCGGATACGAGGGAACCAGAAATGTTTTTGAATTGAATCGATCGTTTTATCGACCCCTATATGACATTGCTCGCCATGAAATAGCCTCAATAGTCCTAGCCTACTATGACGTGGGACAAAGAAACGGATTAATTTAGTATTGTCGGGCAAAATCGTTTGATGGCATAACAGCCCATTTCGCTCGACATACCGTTTAGAATCTAATTGTCCTTCGCGTAAAGAAGTGAGCATTTGTTGCACCTCTGCATTGCTTTTTTGTTCAACATGTAGCCAGGACTCATGTTTTGTGACCCGTAGTACAGAGATAGGGTTGCGACTGAGGTAATCGACATGGCCAAGAGATGACCCCTTTCGGTAAATAATTTCGTAATCGAAATCCTGTAAATAAATCCACCATCTGGCAATACGTGGATTAATTTCCTTTTTCTGCGCGGTGGCCTTTACGGAATTGCAGTCAGTTACTTTTTTAAATTTGATACCCAGTAAATAGACGCGAAAATGCTTGAGGGAATTAATTATGGCAAGCGTTTCCAGCTCGTAAGAGTGGTACTTGGCTTCAACTGATGTAGTGCGTTTACTGTAGTACCCTACAACTTTATTTTGACCGTCATGTTTTTGCATGAGTACTCCGCCATAACCAAGGGAGCTGGCGTCGGTATGTAATTCCGTCGGTAGGTCGGGGTTGAAAACAACAAGTAACGGATCAGACGTGAGACAAGAAATAACGTATTGTTTAGCTTGCTCGTGCTCGTTAGTCCAAACGAAGGGTATATTATTTTTAGTAAGTGTTGTTATGCAAGCTGTTTTTGTAGCAAATTGAGGAATATACTTTCGGAAGTAACTAGCAAGTCCCATGAATTGTCGTACTTGCCTAACATTCTGAGGGGATTCGGTTTTGCGTAGTGCATCTACTTTCCGCGTACTGGGACGTATTCCATCAGCCGAAATTTGCTGACCCAGATATTCAATCTGAGTCTGGAAAAAGAAGCATTTTGCAATGTTAAGCGAGAATCCGGCGTCATGCAGCGCGGTTAACACTAATTCAAGCTTTTGTAATCCTTCTTCTACAGTCTCAGAAGGTATAAGGACATCGTCTAAATAGACTAGGGCTACTGTATCTTTTAATGAACCAAGGGATTTGTTAATGGATTGCTGGTACACAGCCGGAGCGTTTGCTAAACCGAACGGCATGCGTACATATTCGAAGTGGCCATCCGACGTGACAAACCCTGTCTTGGGTATGTGTTCGGGACTAATACAAATTTGATGGAACCCGCTAGTAATATCTAGAGAAGTGAAATACTTCCCTTTGCCTAATTGGTCTAACTGGTCGTCGATTCGTGGTAACGGAAATCTGTTTTTTACCGTATGAGCATTCAATTCGCGGAAATCTACCACCATCCGAAAACTGCCATTTTTCTTTTTGACCAGCAAAACTGGGCTGGCGTAGGGGGAATTACTTTCACGAATAATTCCGCCTTCTAAGAGTCCTTGAATAATTTTTTGTATTTCTTTCCGTTCGCTCATAGCAAGTCTGTATGGTCTGCGATTTACAATGAAGTTATCAACAAGATTGATGTCAAGGGTAACATTAGTTACAGCCCGCAAATTATTTCCCGAAGCAATGAGATGTGCGAATTTATTAATTAGTTCGACTAACCGAGAGCGATACTCAATAGGTACGTTTAATTGTTGCTGTGTTTCATAGTCTGAATTTATTCGTAACACTCCCGGTAGCTGTCTTCGTACGATATGCGTCCCGGTATAATCTGTTATAGCGGCTAATTGGGTATTGGTGAATAAATCGCAACCGATTATCGCATCGTAGTCTAAACATTCAGCGGGCACCACTAAAAACGATAAGCGTGCATGCTGGCCGGTAATTTCTACATCAGCGGTGAATTTAAATTGAGATAAAATTGTTCCCAGCGTTATGCCACCTAAGACATGTTCACTTGGTTTGAGTTTATGTTTGAATGTCGACACAAACTTGTTTGAAATTAACGAAACATCGGCGCCAGTGTCGATGAGGGCCATAAAAGTCTGAGAATCGATTTTGACTGTAGTCGGAAAAGTGTTTTTCTTTACGGAGACAATATTAATATTTTTACGGCGTTCGATTCCTTGTTTTACAAAACAATTTTCAGCTGTGTGTCCGCCCTTAAAGCAAAAGTTACATTCATGTTGATTAGAAGATTTAATTTCATTTGTATTTGTATTACTGTTAGGACCATTTGCTTTGCGTGTATTGTAAGGCAAAGGACTCGATCGCTTATGTATATTAGTTTGACAATATCGTTGTATATGTCCTAGTTGGCCGCAACTAAAACAAGCTCGCGTATCTCTGGAATTTTTCGTTGTAATTGCACGTGTTTCACATCGAAGTCGTTTTGATGACATCGGTATTTGCGAAATTTGTAATTGTGCTTAAATAAGCAATTAAATCGGAAATTGATTCAAAATCTCTCATTGTCAGAGAATCCTTGATTTGGTAATCAGTAATTCCGTGGATAATAATTTCAATTAAATCTGGCGTAGACCAATTGGCCCGAACACTTTTTAATAATGACAACTTTTGATGAACGTATGAAGTATATGTATTACAAGAAGCGCTGTTAAACAAAGCAGCCTCAGATAGCATCTTTCCAAGAATTTTCTTTTTGGGAAAAGCCTCAGAAAGATCTTTTTTTAATGAATACCAATCTCTCTTAAAAGGGAACCAATTGTCGTACCAGAATGTAGCATCATCAAGTAAATATGAGACAACTCTTACCACAATTTGCAAATCTGATAAATCGAATTCTTTTTGAATTTCTTCTACCTGCTCTAACCAGACCTGGACGTCGTCTTTTGATGGGCGGAAATAGGGAAATTCTATTTGTTCTGGTACATTCTTTGCTGCTTTAAACGTCTTCAAGACTTCTGCCAATAATTCTTCCATGTTGGAGAAAGCCCGTAGTGAATCCCACCGCTGCTGATAGTTTTTATTGATTAAAAAGTTTATTGGAATTGTCAAAACAATCACTAACACTTAATATTTTGCTTTAATTCACAAAAAACTCAAATACATTGATAACAAGTATAATTCTTGCGTAACATTATCGAAGTATTATAAATTTGCGACTTTTCGACTCGCTGATGCAACGG